AATTATTGTGTATTTAAATACTTTGATAATTTACTTATTTTTCCTGAAAACCAAAATATACTTAACATTGTGCTCTTGCGGGTACACATTAAAATCTTTAAAGATCTAAGAGTCTCTGTCTTAACCCCTATAATCTCTTGGGCGCATTAAAAAAGAACAAAGAACAAAGAAGGGAACACTGCAAAGGGCCTTTAAGGGCCCTGCGGGGCAGGTCCAAGTTCCCTCCCAGCTTAACCCAAATCCCCCAACCTAGTCAGGTCAGGTCACATTGATTAAGGGAGGACCGGCAACCGACCGGGACAAAAGTTCGCTACTCACACCCCCCCAACCACTCAGTTTTTATCCAAACCCTATTTCAAAAGCTCCCAAAACGTTTTGGCCTCTTTAACGGTATGGGAGTTTGTTCCACTCATCCCCAACTCTATTCCAAACCAGTACTTTCCTATACCCTTTTCCTGAATCTAAATTTTTTCCAACTTAAAACCCTTTGCTGCGAGTCCGTTAGGCTAGAATTTTCAGCACACTATTTACACCCCCTTTTATTTTTCCTGTCTTTTTTTTATACACCTCAATATACCCCCCAAATTTAACTTTTTTTAGAGATGCAGATTCAGGGCCCTTAGTCTACCTCATAGGGAAGGTTTTCTGATACATGGGACAACTTTGTCACCCTCCTTTGTACATTTTTCCAGAAATTTATATCCATTCTGTAATAAGGTGCCCAAAATGGCAGCATAATCTAAAGAGGCCTCCCAGGAGATGAGTTGAAGAAAAACCCCTGAGGACCCTATTTTTTAGTTTCTTGTTGAACCCAAAAGGGATTCTATTAGCTTTATTGCGAACCTTATGCCGTTGTTTTGGTTTCAGATTACTGCTAACCAAACCCCAAAACTTTTCGCAATCCTAAATTAGATCTACATTATTTAGTTTTTGTGGCTGGTTTTTTTGTCCTGCCCAAACATTTAGAACTTTGCATTTTTTAATTTTAAAAACTGATCTGCCACTTTTTCGACCACTGCATCAGTCTTTTCAAATCTTCCTGGAGTGCTCGAATGTCCTCGTCAAAATAAATTCGAGGGCCTATTTTTGTCATCGGAAAACTTGCCATTCGCTTTTTATGCCCCCATCTATTCGTTTTGTGATTGTAACAGCGGGGGGCCCAAACTGACCCCTGTGGAACCCCGCCGTGACATTTCCCCACTCTGATTTCCCCCCTTTTATGAAAACTCTCTGCTGCCTATTTTAACGCCCTACCCGGGAAAAATTTTCTCCCCTTTCCATGTGTTTTAAATTTTCCCCTCAATATCTCTGATGTGGGACCCTGCAAAAGCCTTTCTGAAGTCCCAAAAACAAAACATATTCATTACCATGACTACCTCCTCAAATACCTTAGTGAAAAAATTAAAAAATTTGTAAGGCAGGAACCCCCTTTGTAAAAACCCGGCTGAGATTCGTTGATTAATTTATGTTTTCAAGGTGGCTACAATGCCCGGGAATTATTGATTCCAAAATTTTCCCCACTATGGAGGGTTTGGCTTTTTGGTCTATAGTTCAAGTAAGGCCGGGCACCTGTTTTGAAATAGGTATCAAATTTTCCATTTTCCACTTTTCTGGCACCATGCCAGTTTGTAGTGATATGTTGAAAAGATTTGCCAAAGGGTGCTAAGCTCCCCTTTACATTCCTTAGAACCCCTTTCATACATTTTTCAGGGGCCCGGGGATTTGTTAGGTTTTAATTTATCTATTTTCCCAAGGGCCTGTCCCCTTGTGACCCTAAAAGTACACAGTTTATTTTCGTCCGTTCACATAATTTACTTACGGAAAATCGCTGGGATCCCCTGTGTAAAAACTGAGGGGAAGTATGTGTTAAAAATTCTACACATTTCCTTATCACTGTAGTGAGCGACCCAGGAAATTTTTAGTGGGGCCCATCTTGCCCGTCTTACTTCTGTATCCTGAAAAAATCCTTTTTTGGGTTTGTCTTCGTTTTTCTGCAATTTAAACCCCATAATCCTTTTTGCTTTTCTAATTCCCTTTTTTATTTCCTCTTTTAAATGAAAATTTTTCGATTTCTCAATTGCCCCCCTCCTCTTTTGATTTGCCTATATATGCTCCTTTTGACCAAAAATATTTTAAACTATTGTTCTCATTAGGTCATTTTTTTTTTGATCTATTTCCCTATTTGGAACATAATTTGACTGAGCAGCTAAACTATGCCCCGGAAAACATCATTCGGGAACCATCACCACCTACCCGACCCCTTTGTCGGCATTCCCGTTTTAGCCCCCTAAGTAATTTTTTAGTCCTTGAAATCACCAAGCGAAAATCAGGGGGCGGGACTTGATTGCCATTATTTGGGAATTTCCATGATATTTAAAACTGAGTGATTTTTTGATCACTTTCCCCCAAACCATCATTAACCTCAAGAAATATTAATAGTGTTTCCTACTGGGGAAGAACCAAGTCAAGGAGGTTATTTCCCCTAGGGCTCTGTCACAAAATGTTTTTAAAAAAAATCCTGGATGATCAAAAAGTCACCTGACTCTAAATTTCCTGTCAATTTCTCATCAATCTGTTATATTGAAATCTCCCATTAACAACATTTTGATGTAATCCCTTACGAATTTCGTCCCATAGAAGTTTACTGCCTCCCATCAGATTTTGGGGGGGCCCCGTAAATCAAAACCCAAAATTAGTTTTTCCTTGGCCCCCAAAGCTTTTAACCCAAAAAGATTCAGTGGCTGACGCTTCTAATTTAATATCTTTTCTAACACAACAATTTAAATTGTCTCGAAATACACGCACCCACCACCTTTTCCCGTTGACCCTTCATGTGGGGTAATTTTTTAGCCTTGTATGTGACATTTCAGAGGGCATTCTCTATCTTTCAGATTTAGCCAGGTCTTGTTTTAAACAATAATATCTAGTCTCCTGCACTTGCAATTAATCTTAGCTCATCTATCTTATTTTTTAACTCCTCATTTTAGTAAACCTTTAAAGGGGGCAGTCCCTTTCTGCCCCTGCTGTCCCCCCTTTTTTTGCTGACCTATTTTGCTTTTTTTATAACTTCATGTGAATGCCTTTTTTAAAAATTTTCTGTTTCCACCCAAAGTGTTGCAACCTGCTTTTTTCCCACACACCCAAACCCCTACTTCTATCAGTTTAAAACATAGGCATTTACCAATGGCCTTCCCAATCGAGTCGCAATGCACCACCCCAGCCCCAGAGAGATTTTCCCCATCCCTTTTCATACATATCATGTTTCCATAAAATTGTTCCAGTTGTAATGATGGGATTGCAAGTTCTTGCCGTATCTGTCAGCCAGCAATTTACACCATTTTTCCCAGACAACCTTCATTTTCCCTCCCCCCCTTTTAGGGAAGATGCTACTAGATTGGGATCCCTCCCCCTTTAATTAATGAAATCATAGCTCCTGTACTTTTCTAGAGCTTTTCTCTTTCCCCCTTCCCCTTCTTTTTCCCCCGCATGAGACAGATAAAGGGCTTGCTCCCATTACCTGACATGAATTATCCCCGCCTTTTGACAATGCCCCCCCAAAACCCCCCCAGGGGAACACACTCTATCTCTCATCTTTTTATTCCATTACAAAAAGCACGGTCAATGTATCTTTTCCTGAGGTCACCAACCACAAGAATCGCTTCCCCATTCAGGGGCAGGACCCTTTTCCTTCACGGCCATGAAGTACATTCACCTGAAGAACAAAAGCGATTTCCCCCCTTCAGATCTTCACCTTAACTTTCCCCTTTCTCTGATGCGCCTTCCATTACTGTAATACTCGCCATTTAGCAGGTGCTGGGGGCCCTCACGCTGGTAGCCGTTGCTGCCTCCCCAATACAGCCTTCAAGCGGAGACGACTGCACCTCGCTGTAGAAGCCTCATTCCCCACAACTCCAGCCACCTCACACTCTCTCCCAGACCCATTGAGGTGGACCTTCAGCCTCCTAATCTCCTCCTGGAGAAGCAAGACCTCCTCCTTCAACTCTCCAACCTCAATTTTTAAAACACTGCAGAAGCAAGCCATGCTTTGTAACCGTCCACACTAATCCCCAAGGCAGCTCAGGGTCTGTGACCTCACGTGACGACTGACCACTGAGTACTGGAAAGGGATATCTTCATTAACGTCATAAAGGAGTTTTAGTCTTCCATATATCGCCTCGGCAACTGCCTGTTCATTTTCCAGGACAAAAAAAAAAAAAGTTGTGTAGGCACCAACAGAACGCTACACCTGGTGTCACATGTGGAGATGTGCTTGGCACTCGTTGACTTTTGGAGCACAGTGGTCGACAAAAAGCAGAGGTGAGAGTTTCTTAAACAATTTTGATAACATCTGCTAAGATAACGAGATTAGCGACAAAAATTTAGTTTTAATTTGCAAGTTATCTACTGTTATGTCTATCCCCAATCCGTCTTCCTAATTAACTATCACACATAAATATAGCGTTTGAATTATTATTATAATCACAGGGAAGCGCTAAACCTGTAGGGTTATACAGCGCATGTGGGGGGGATGGAAGGTATTCAGGTTCAATTCAGGGAACTGGAGCATAGATCCAATTCCCTAGATCAAGAGCCCCTCACCAGCATCAAGGAACCTCCCCTGAGGGGAATAGCGTTTGAAGCTTATTTGAAAGTTAAGTTGGCTTACGTTATGTTAGGCTTGATTAGGTAAGATAAATTTCAACGAAAAAACTATGAGGATAAAAAAAAGATAAAACAGTCTGCCGTGCGAAGAGAAAAGAAAGGTAGCCACTTCACTCGGCTCATAAATGTCATGTTTCGTGTTCAAGGCTCCGTCAACAGTCAGCCGTTGGACTGTTGTGACAACAGTGCCCCGTTGTCTGTGGTAACTAGGACGGCCTGATTTCCAATGGCATTCAGTGTGTTACATTTTTTAGGTAAATCGCTGATTAATTAGGTGATAATTAAAGTACCTTGTATTAAACTCCAGGTTATTAATAACAAACTAGCCATGCGTCACAATTTATTGATATAAATTTAGCTGACAGTTCCATTCTGTGTTAGTTCTGAGACCCATGTTTATATATTTACATTAGTAGGCGGTAGTGAAGGTCCTGTTAAACACACACTTGGTGCTAATATTGTGCACATGGGCCGCGGGGGCGTTGACCCCTGGAACACCCTCCAGGTATACTCCAGGTAGATAACAACTTCACTCTTCCTGGCAAGTAGCAAAAGTTACCATTCCTACTTATGGTATCTGTGCTTAGGGATCCACAACAGAAAACCAATTAAAACCTACTACTGCCAGCAGAAATCAAAACTGATAAAATAATCACCCATTTAGATTTTAAACAACACACAGTGACCCTCGAGGCCTGGTCATGGAGCTGGCCGCTGGGGCGTTGACCCCCGGAACACTCTCCAAGTATACTCCACTCTTCTAGACAAGTGTTACCAACCCCGGTAAGTGTTGCCAACCCGGCAAAGTATTATCAACCCCCCACAACTGTTACCATCCCCTGCAAGTGTTAACAACCCTAGTAAGTGTTACCAACCAATGCAACTGTTACCAATCCCAAGTGTTCCCAACCCTGGTAAGTGTTATCAATTCTGACAAGCGTTACCAATACCAGCTAGTATTACCAATCTTGGAAATTGTTACCAACATTGCCATATGTTACAAAACCCAGTAACTGTTACCAATCCGGGCAAGTATTACCAAATCCAGTAAGTGTTGCCAATCCAGGCAAGTATTACCAAACCCGGCAAGTGTTATCAAACCAAAAGGTAGCTGCGAATTGCTTGTCAATGCAACTTTCATCCACCCTGCCTCCCCCTGCCTTCTACTCTGCCTTCTACCCAGCCTTTCTACCCTGCCTTACCCTCTGCCTTCTCCCTGCCTTGCCCATGTCTTCCTGCCTTCCTGCCTGCCTTTCCCCCTACCTTCCTGCCTCTTCCCTACCTTTCCCCTGCCTTCCTCCCTGCTTTCCCACTGCCTTACTCCCTTTCCCCTTTCTTCATGCCTTCCCATGCCTTCCTCCTGTCATTTCCCCTGCCTTTCCCCCTGCCTTCTACACTGCCTTCCTGCTTTCCCCCTGTTTTTCCCTCCAACATCTCATGCTACAAGTGTACCAGAGTTACCAGTCTACACCTGCCGGGTTGAACTGACACTGAAAATTCCTCAGAATGTCTTCATAGCCAGTGGTGATGTTGCCGCTGATGTAGACGTAGATACCCATAGGGACGCCTCTTGTGTTTGGGATTTCCACTATACTGAAGTTCTGCCCCAGCTCGGTGTTATAGTACATTGTACCGTCACCCCAGACTGGTCCAGTACCGTTGTTAACGAGGTCCAATGCCCATTTACCACCTGAATTAAAAAAATAGATGGGTAAAGATTGTGACCTGGAATGTTAGTATTCAATTTTATATCTAACTTCATACTGTTTTAAATATAATGATATGTGTAGTTTGTTATAAACAAAAATTCTGACTGTTGATTCATGTTATGACGAATATTTTGTTCCGGATGTAAACATTTGGGTTTTATGACACCAACGATGTTTTTTTCTTAGACGCTTCCGACAAACAAACATTCAGTAGTAACACCTGGTGCAGGCAACATTCAGTAGTAACACCTGGTGCAGGCAACATTCAGTAGTAACACCTGGTGCAGGCAACATTCAGTAGCAACACCTGGTGCAGGCAACATTCAGTAGTAACACCTGGTGCAGGCAACATTCAGTAGCAACACCTGGTGCAGGTAACATTCAGTAGCAACACCTGGTGCAGGCAACATTCAGTAGTAACACCTGGTGCAGGCAACATTCAGTAGTAACACCTGGTGCAGGAAACATTCAGTAGTAACACCTGGTGCAGGCAACATTCGGTAGCAACACCTGGTGCAGGCAACATTCAGTAGCAACACCTGGTGCAGGCAACATTCAGTAGCAACACCTGGTGCAGGCAACATTCAGTAGTAACACCTGGTGCAGGCAACATTCAGTAGTAACACCTGGTGCAGGCAACATTCAGTAGTAACACCTGGTGCAGGCAACATTCAGTAGTAACACCTTGTGCAGGCAATATTCAGTAGGAACACCTGGTGCAGGCAACATTCAGTAGTAACACCTGGTGCAGGCAACATTCAGTAGTAACACCTGGTGCAGGCAACATTCAGTAGTAACACCTGGTGAAGGCAACATTCAGTAGTAACACCTGGTGCAGGCAACATTCAGTAGTAACATCTGGTGCAGGCAACATTCAGTAGTAACACCTGGTGCAGGCAACATTCAGTAGCAACACCTGGTGCAGGCAACATTCAGTAGTAACACCTGGTGCAGACAACATTCAGTAGTAACACCTGGTGCAGGCAACATTCAGTAGTAACACCTGGTGCAGGCAACATTCAGTAGTAACACCTGGTGCAGGCAACATTCAGTAGTAACACCTGGTGCAGGCAACATTCAGTAGTAAACCTGGTGCAGGCAACATTCAGTAGTAACACCTGGTGCAGGCAACATTCAGTAGTAACACCTGGTGCAGGCAACATTCAGTAGTAACACCTGGTGCAGGCAACATTCAGTAGTAACACCTGGTGCAGGCAACAATCAGTAGCAACACCTGGTGCAGGCAACATTCAGTAGTAAACACTGGTGCAGGCAACATTCAGTAGTAACACCTGGTGCAGGCAACATTCAGTAGTAACACCTGGTGCAGGCAACATTCAGTAGTAACACCTGGTGCAGGCAACATTCAGTAGTAACACCTGGTGCAGGCAACATTCAGTAGTAACACCTGGTGCAGGCAACATTCAGTAGCAACACCTGGTGCAGGCAACATTCAGTAGTAACACCTGGTGCAGGCAACATTCAGTAGTAACACCTGGTGCAGACAACATTCAGTAGTAACACCTGGTGCAGGTAACATTTAGTAGTAACACCTGGTGCAGGCAACATTCAGTAGTAACACCTGGTGCAGGCAACATTCAGTAGTAGCACCTGGTGCAGGTAACATTCAGTAGTAACACCTGGTGCAGGCAACATTCAGTAGCAACACCTGGTGCAGGCAACATTCAGTAGTAACACCTGGTGCAGGCAACATTCAGTAGTAACACCTGGTGCAGGCAACATTCAGTAGTAACACCTGGTGCAGGCAACATTCAGTAGTAACACTTGGAGCAGGCAACATTCAGTAGTAACACCTGGTGCAGGCAACATTCAGTAGTAACACCTTGTGCAGGCAATATTCAGTAGGAACACCTGGTGCAGGCAACATTCAGTAGTAACACCTGGTGCAGGCAACATTCAGTAGTAACACCTGGTGCAGGAAACATTCAGTAGTAACACCTGGTGCAGGCAACATTCAGTAGTAACACCTGGTGCAGGCAACATTCAGTAGTAACACCTGGTGCAGGCAACATTCAGTAGTATACACCTGGTGCAGGCAACATTCAGTAGTAACACCTGGTGCAGGCAACATTCAGTAGTAACACCTGGTGCAGGCAACATTCAGTAGTAAACCTGGTGCAGGCAACATTCAGTAGTAACACCTGGTGCAGGCAACATTCAGTAGTAACACCTGGTGCAGGCAACATTCAGTAGTAACACCTGGTGCAGGCAACAATCAGTAGCAACACCTGGTGCAGGCAACATTCAGTAGTAACACCTGGTGCAGGCAACATTCAGTAGTAACACCTGGTGGAGGCAACATTCAGTAGTAACACCTGGTGCAGGCAACATTCAGTAGTAACACCTGGTGCAGGCAACATTCAGTAGTAACACCTGGTGCAGGCAACATTCAGTAGTAACACCTGGTGCAGGCAACATTCAGTAGCAACACCTGGTGCAGGCAACATTCAGTAGTAACACCTGGTGCAGGCAACATTCAGTAGTAACACCTGGTGCAGGCAACATTCAGTAGTAACACCTGGTGCAGGTAACATTCAGTAGTAACACCTGGTGCAGGCAACATTCAGTAGTAACACCTGGTGCAGGCAACATTCAGTAGTAGCACCTGGTGCAGGTAACATTCAGTAGTAACACCTGGTGCAGGCAACATTCAGTAGCAACACCTGGTGCAGGCAACATTCAGTAGTAACACCTGGTGCAGGCAACATTCAGTAGTAACACCTGGTGCAGGCAACATTCAGTAGTAACACCTGGTGCAGGCAACATTCAGTAGTAACACTTGGAGCAGGCAACATTCAGTAGTAACACCTGGTGCAGGCAACATTCAGTAGTAACACCTTGTGCAGGCAATATTCAGTAGGAACACCTGGTGCAGGCAACATTCAGTAGTAACACCTGGTGCAGGCAATATTCAGTAGTAACACCTGGTGCAGGCAACATTCAGTAGTAACACCTGGTGCAGGCAACATTCAGTAGTAAACACCTGGTGCAGGCAACATTCAGTAGTAACACCTGGTGCAGGAAACATTCAGTAGTAACACCTGGTGCAGGCAACATTCAGTAGTAACACCTGGTGCAGGCAACATTCAGTAGTAACACCTGGTGCAGGCAACATTCAGTAGTAACACCTGGTGCAGGCAACATTCAGTAGTAACACCTGGTGCAGGCAACATTCAGTAGTAACACCTGGTGGAAAATACAACCTTTCTTCCTGCGTGTTTTTCCATCCTGAAATATGTCAATCTTCAGTTCAGGAAAGACAATGTTATAACTTATATGGTTAGGCACACCACTTTAAAGGGGACAAGAAGATACAAAACATCCAGACCATGGGAAAACCTGAGTAGCCACAACCACTCCAGAAATGTTTTTTTTTTTTTTAGCGCCAGGAAAGAAAAAAAAAACTGGCAGGTAATGACAGAAATCGTACACCAACGCCTATCATTTCTGGAGCAGAATCACAGTCAATGGCCTCCACTCTAAAACAACAGATATTAGTGCCAGGAAAAAAGGCCCTTTCCCCCATACCACTAATACGACGACATTCATATTTGCAAATATACATTCAGGGTCTAAAGCCAGCAACGAACAACGAAATACCTTCAATCCGTGGACTGCTTACAGAGTCAAAGGTAATGTTCGCTGTTTTGACAGAGACCCACATACAGTATCACTAACAATGAAATGTGGATCCCGGGTTATAACTTATAATGATGCGACAGAGTGAACAGGCAAAAGAGGGGGGGGAGGGTTGGCCTGTATGTAACAGAGTCAATGATATGCTCGGAACTACTAAATGCCTCTAATGATGTAGTTGAAGTTTTGGCAATAAAGATCGAGAACCGAAACATGGTCATTGTGGCTGTATACAAGCCTCCGGATGCAACTTCCCAATAATTCCCGGAACAGCATTTGAAAAATAGACCACTGTCTGGAAAATCTTCCAGTTCCTGTTCAAACATCCTATTCCTGGGGGTTTTCAACTTAAGGCATCTCAAATGGAGGAATGTAGCAAATAATGCTGTAGCAGAGATAACTCCAGGAGGCAGCTCAGATGAAAACTCGCACACACATGAGCTTTCAAATCTCTGCGCCAGATTCACCTTAAACCAGCAAATAATAGAGCCTACAAGATTGGAGAATACAGTGAGCCTCATCTTCACTAACAAACAATGATGATCTGAAGCAAAATAATACCACATCAAAAACAATATACTCAGATCACATAAGAGAGGTTCAGACATGTATGCAGGGGTTGTCCCAGACCAACAAAATGTGATCACTCACGAGGGAACTTTCACCAAATTCAACTTCAGTAACAAAAACATAAGGTGGGACCAAGTAAACCAAGTCCTAAATGATATAAACTGGGAAGATATCCTAGGCAATACGGATCCTAACAAATGTCTGGAAAAAATTAACTATGCGGCACTCGAGGTATGCTCAAGGCATATTCCTTTAATGAAAAAGGAAGAGAAGATGTAAACTAGAAAGAGAAAGGCGCTCCCTATACAGGCGAAGGAAAAAAAATAACAGAGCGGCTAAAAGAGGCCAATATATCTGCAATACGAAGGGAGACAATGGTCAGAGAAATAGCAAATATCGAACAAAAGTTAAAGGAATCTTACAGGAGTCAAGAAACGTGGGAAGAACTAAAAGCCATAAATGAAATTGAAAGAAACCAAAAATATTTCTTTTCTTATGCCATATCAAAGTCTAGAACAACATCCAGTATTGGGACCCTACTTAGACAAGATGGGTTCTACACAGAACTCAAGTCCCGATATGACTTGGTTTCTAGCGAGATGCTAACCAGACTGAGAGTCGAAGACCTTATTGAATTTTGTTATGAGCGAGACAGAATTTGGTAGACTCAGACCTATCTGATATTATCCTGATGCCAAATGACTTCGAAAAGGTGATAAATGACATGCCCACGCACTCTGTCCCCGGCCCAGGCTCGTGGAACTCCGCATTCATCAAGAACTGAAAGAAACCCCTGTCATGTGCTGTTAACATTCTATGGAGAGGGAGCATGGACACAGGGGCCGTCCCACAGTTGCTAAAAACAACAGACATAGCCCCACTTCACAAATGAGGCAGTAAATGAATAACAAAGAGCTACAGACCGATAGCACTGACATCCCATATCATAAAAATCTTTGGAAGGGTTCTAAGAAGCAAGATTGCTACCCATCAATATACCCATCAGTTAGACAACCCAGGGCAACATGGGTTTAGAACAGGTCTCTCCTCCCTGTCCCAACTACTGGACAACTATAACAAGGTCCTGGATGCTCTAGACGACAAACATAACGCAGATGTAGTATACATAGACTTTGTAAAAGTCTTTGACAAGTGTGACCATGGTGTAATAGCGCACAAAATGCGTGAAAAAGGAATAACAGGAAAAGTTGGTAGATGGATCTATAATTTCCTAATAAATAGAACACAAAGAGTAGTAGTCAACAGAGTAAAATCTGAGACGGCTACGGTGAAAAGCTCTGTTACACAAGGCACAACAGTACTTGCTCCCATCCTGTCCCTCATCCTCATATCTGACACAGACAGGATGTAAGCCACAACACCGTGTATTCTTTGCAGATGACACCCGAATTTTCGTGACAGTGTCCTCCACTGAAGACACTGCAAGACTCCAGGCGGAAATCAACCAAATCTTTAAATGGGCCTCAGAAAACAATATGAAGTTCAACGATAATAAATTTTAATTACTCCGATATGGAAAACGTGAGGAAATTAAAATTGTATCTGTGTATAAAACAAATTTCAACCAGAAAATAGAGTGAAAAACTAATGTGAAGGACCTGGGGGTGATAATGTCAGAGGATCTCACCTTCAAAGACCACAACATTGCATCAATCGCATCTGCTAGAAAAATGACAGGATGTATAATAAGAACAATCAAAACTAGGGATGCCAAGCCCATGATGACACTCTTCAGGTCGCTTGTTCTATCTAGGCTGGAATATTGCTGCACACTAACAGCACCTTTCAAGGCAGGTGAAACTGCTGACTTAGAAAATGTACAGAGAACCTTCACGGCGGCACACATAACGGCGATAAACCACCTCAGTTACTGAGAACGCTTGAAGTTCCTAAACCTGTACTCCCTAGAACGCAGGAGGGAGAGATACATGATTATATACAGGTGGAAAATCCTAGAGGGACTAGTACCAAACTTGCACACAAAAATCACTCCCTACTAAAACAAAAGACTCGGCAGACGATGCAACATCCCCCCAATGAAAAGCAGGGGTGCCACTAGCACGTTAAGAAACAACACAATAAGTGTCAGGCGCCCAAGACTGTTCAGCTGCCTCCGAGCATACATAAGGGGGATTACCAATAGACCCCTGGCTGTCTTCAAGCAGGCGCTGGACAAGCACCTGAAGTCGGTACCTGACCAGCAGGGCTGTGGTTCGTACACTGGATTACGCGCGGCCAGCAGTAACAGCCTGGTTGATCATGCCCTGATCGACCATGAGGCCTGGTCACAGACCGAGCCGCGGGGGCGTTGACCCTCTGAGCTCTCTCTGTTGTGAGGGTTCAAGGAGATGTGATGGTTGGAGTTGAACATACTTGTTGGATGGTAACACTTATATTGCAGAGTGTGAAAACTCCAGGTGTAGGCAACATAAAGTAGCAACACCTGGTGCAGGCAACATTCGGTAGCAACATTTTGTGCAGGCAACATTCAGTAGTAACACCTGGTGCAGGCAACAATCGGTAGCAACACCTGGTGCAGGCAACATTCGGTAGCAACACCTGGTGCAGGCAACATTCATTAGCAACACCTGGTTCAGGCAACATTCAGTAGCAACACCTGGTAGAGGCAACGTTCAGTAACAACACCTGGTGCAGGCAACATTCAGTAGCAACACCTGGTGCAGGCAACATTCGGTAGCAACACCTGGTGCAGGCAACATTCAGTAGCAACACCTGGTGCAGGCAACATTCAGTAGCAACACCTGGTGCAGGCAACATTCAGTAGCAACACCTGGTGCAGGCAACATTCAGTAGCAACACCTGGTGCAGGCAACATTCAGTAGCAACACTCGGTGGAGACAAACATGCGGTAAATAAAACCATTAACAAATGGCTGAAACACTCAGCAACTGGATGTGTTTCAGTCTCCATGTGATCCTAGTAAGGTGTCCCTGTATCCTACAGCCGAGCTCCCTCTACCTCAGTGCACCACAAAAACAACAGTACAGTGTGTCGTAAGTTTCTAATGCAGGTAAATATTACTGAAGATAATCAGAAATATTATACACAAGTTATCACATGGAAATTGGCATCCCAATTTCTTCTAAAAAATCGTAAACTGGCACTTATACAGCTCTAAACCAATTCGAACCTTCCATCTTCAATATGATAGGCCTGTTTAGAAGAGCCAGTCAGACGAGAATTCTCTAGTTATCACAGAAAGATTTACATGCAGTTGCAGACTCCGCAAAGAATGTTGGAACACTGCTATAATTCAAAAGAATTTTTTAGTAACATATAAAATATAAGAAATACCAAATTTCACTTATCTTGTAAAATTTGGTCAAATTTCCCTGTTTTAAATACGAATTTCAGGAAGTTAGGCATAAAATCATTAATTTTTTAAAGTACGTCAAGTCCATTTCTTGAATAGAGATTTTTTTTATTTTCTCAGTCAAATGTGGCATTGATGACGTGCTTTTGACATTGTTTTATTCATTCCAACAATTCTCGATGGGGTTCAGATCAGGAGTGTTCCATGGCTTCTGGATAACATTAATATTGTTCTCATGCAACCATTTCTTGACCTGTTTGACCTATGGCACTTGGCACCATCTTGTATAAGGTGTGTGGTGCCATGAAGCTTGTGGAATGTGAGGAAATAATCCTCAGACATCTCTTACTGTATATACAGACTCTGCAAATTTTGGGTTATATGCGACCCAACGTAATTTGCGAAGTGTGCATATTCCCCAGGTTAAACTTACGCATTTCCATAACATCCATAATTGTCTATGTAGGATAGAACAATGTTAAAAGTTTGAAACCGAGCAGAAGAGGCTTTCTCAAGTTATTACATATACCAAAACTAAAAACATTTTATATAAAATTAACTAGACAGGGCCCCTTAACGTTCCACTAGTTTCAAGAACATTTCACTACATATAGTTTTCTAATCCCGAAAATATGAAGCCGATCAAACATGGGTTCTCAGATTGTAAACAAAAAACTCTTGAAGGAAGAAAGAAAAAATCAGACACCTACGTTTAAGAACCCATTTAGGAACATCTACTAACTTCCCATGAGAGGCAACATTAGGCAACAGTACTGTGAGAAGAACACTATAATACCCTGTGAAGGGGAAAAACTACATCATGGGGACGGAACAAACAACACTGCCATAAGAGATGGAACACTTCAAAAAATAGTCTGGGCGATGGAGGATTCAGTAACAACAACAGCAGCAACAGCAACAATAACAATATCCCGAAGATAACACTAACGAAACTAAATGTCTAAAGTGTTTATATCCAACTGTTACCAACATTTGTACATTTGTCATAAAGTTTTGAGGGGAAAATTATACTTTGGATAGTGAGTAACTATTTAGTGTTCAGGCTGGGGCAGCAGGTAATAGGTTGGAAGCATTAGGTAACTACTCACTACTTAGGACGGGAAGTGCCAGTAGAATGTCCTTCTGCTGAATGGTCTTGAAGATACCGAGGCGGTGACCTGGTATGGAGGCGCAGTATGTCTTAGCGTCTGCATATTTCTTTAGCATCATCGTATTTAGGTACAACAGACCGTCCTTTCCCCACGAGTAAGTTCCAGGTATAGAGTCTGTATAAAAGGGAAAAAAATCTGCTGTTGATGACTTTATTCGGATGAGTGCCTTAGTAGTTAACAACTTAGGATCACCCACTGAAAGAAAGCAGAACTGAGCTCACACATTGAAGTCTGTGGCTCGATCTCCGGCACGGGTCGAAACATTAAGACGTGTTTCCTAAACACGCCTGCTTAGACCCCTGTCACCTATCAGTAAAGTAGATACCTGGGTGTTAGTCGACCGGTGTGGGTCGCATTCTGGGCACAAAACTGAAATACAGTAGTACCTGGAGTTTACCTGGAGAGGGTTTCGGGGGTCATCGCCCCCACGGCTCGGTCTGAGACCAGGCCTCATGGTGGATCAGGGTCTGATGAACCAGGCTGTTAATACTGACCGCACCCAACCCGACGTACGAAACACAGCCCGTGTTGAGAAATGGCGTTACCAGTTAAGTTTAAAGAGTTTGTACTTAACTTAGAAAGACAACTCATCGCCTGCACAGCCGCCCCTGCAGACGAGGTCTTGAGAAGCTGTCGAAGTCATCTCTCAACGGGCTGTAAAGATTATAATTTGTAAGATTATAAATTACCCCTAGGGGGTGTTATGTCAGCATATTTCATTCACTGATGGCTGACAAACTTACTTGTGTGGACTCAAAAGTCCGCCCCTTACTACCGACTATAGGTTGATTACAAACTCCTTGCGACTCAAGAACTGCGCAGTCCCCCGTACTACAAGAAATTCGTAACCTACCTTGCTCTTGTAGCGTGAGCTATGGTGTTCTTCACATCTTTGACAGGTATCGGTGACTTGATAGAAGCTGAAGTGTCCTTGGATGTCCACGTCTTCCATAGTCTAGGAATACACACACTGGTACACTATGTTCCACAAGATTTGTCTTTATTGTTCACAATCTTATCACTAAAGAAGCTGATCACACTTCTCTTAAGTGTTTATTGTGTTTTATGAGATACTTTGTTCACACTAACGCACAGATCAGTGTTCTTTGTTGGTTATCCTGGAGTCAGTGTCACTCAGTAGAGTCAAAAGTAATCTGAAGACGCCACAGTACCCCATGCCGTCACTCCCTTAGCACAAAAAAAAGCTGACCTAGTACTTTTGCTTCCTTGCCACTTCCTCGATGAAGCAAAGCAGAATGTTTGATTCTTGCTGTCTTAAGCATAGACAACAATGTCCACTGTCTTTACTATGGTAACAAAGTGGGAGCAGGATTTTCCTTAATTGTCCTGCTAAAGTAAGAGATGTACTGTCTCTTATTAAAATACACTCTGCAACACTCTGCAAGGAGCAGTGGTCACTTGACCACGTCGCATACTCGTACGGCATCTGTGATCAATTACTCATTGTAGCAGTAAACAAGATGCTTGCCCCTTCTGAGAGGGCTGGGCCCCTCAGGGCTGAAAGGGGCTGAAGGGGCTGAAGGGGGCTGATATCCTCTCCTGGAGAAAATTTCTCCACAGCCCGGTTGGTCAGGTATTGACATTAGGTGCCTGTCCAGCCGCTTCTTGAATACAGCCAGTGGTCTATTGGTAATCCCACTAATGTATGCTGGGAGGCAGTTGAACAGTCTTGGGTCCCAGACACTTATTGTGTTGTCTCTCTCCCCTTAAGGAAGGTTCCTTGATGTTGGTGAGGGGCTCTTGATTTAGGGAATTGGATCTGTGCTCCAGTTCCCCGAATTAAGCCTGAATGCCTTCCACATCCCCCCCCAGGCGCTGTATATTCCTCCGGGTTTAGCGCTTCCCCCTTGATTATAATAATAATGTGTTGTCTCTCAATGTACTCGAGGCGCCCCTGCTTTTCATAGGGGGAATGTTGCATCTCCTACCGAGTCTTTTGCTTTCTTGGCGAGTGATTTTCGTGCGCAGCTTTGGTACCAATTCCTCCAGGACCTTCCAAGTGTATATTATCAAGTATCTCTCTCGCCTGTGTTCCAGAGAATACAGATCAAGGACCTTCAACCGTTCCCAGTAATTTAGATGCATTATCGTACTTATGTGTGCTGTGAAAGTTCTTTGTACACTCTCCAGGTCTGCAAGGTCGCCAGCCTTGAAGGGGCCGTTAGTGTACAGCAGTATTCCAGCCTAGAGAGTACAAACGATTGTAAGAGAATCATCATGGGCTTGGCGTACCTAGTTTTGAAGGTTCTCATTATACATCTATCATTTTCCTAGCAGATGAGGTAGATACATTGTTGTGGTCTTTGAAAGCGAGGTTCTCTGACATTATCACTCCCGGGTCCATCACATTAATTTTCCGCTCTTTTGTATGGTTAGAATTTGTCGTATACCCTGATACATTTTTAATTTCTTCATGTTTCCCATATCTGAGTAGTTGAAATTTCTCCTCGTTGAAATTCATATTGTTTTGAGTGACCCATTCTAAGATTTGGTTGATGTCCGCTTGGAGTCTCGCGGTTTCTTCGATGGAGGTCACTGCCATGGTAATCCGGGTGTCATCCGCAAAGGAAGACACGGAGCTATGGCGTACATCTCTGTCTATATCAGAAATGAGAATGAGAAATAGAATGGGAGCCAGCACTGTGCCTTGTGGAACAGAGCTTTTTACCGTGACGGCCTGGGACTTTACTCTGTTTACTATTACTCTTTGTGTTCTATTTGTCAGGAGGTTATAGAGCCATCTACCAACTTTTCCTGTTATTCCGTTATCACGCATTTTGTGTGCTATTACACTATGGTCACACTTGCTGAAAGCTTTTGCAAAGTCTGTGTATACTACATCTGTATCTTGTTTATCCTCTACATCATCCAGGACCTTGTCATAGTGGTCCAGTAGCTGGGACAGGCAGGAGCGACCTGCTCTAAACCCGTGTTGCCCTGGGTTGTGTAATTGATGGGTATCTAGGTGGTTGGCCATCTTGCTTCTTAGAATCCTCTCAAAGATTTTTATATGGGATGCTATCGGTCTGTAGTTGTTTGCAATTGCTTTACTGCCACCTTTGTGGAGTGGGGCTATGTCTGTTGTTTTTAGTGTGTGTTGGATGACCCCTGTGTCCACGCTTCTCTCCATAAAATGCTGAAGGCACACGATAGGGGCTTCTTTGCAATTCTTGATGAACACGGGGTTCCATGAGTCTGGGCCTGGGGCAGAGTGCATGGGCATGTCATTTATTGCCTCTTCAAAGTCTTGTGGAGTTTGGATAATATCCGAGATTTTTGAGATGACATTGATGTCATTGATGTCATTGTCATTGATGGCAATATGTCATTGATGTCAGCTAGCTAGGCCTATATACCTTGTATACACTATTATTATTATTATTATTATTATTATTATTATTATTATTATTATTATTATTATTATTATTATTATTATTATTATTGTTATTAATATTATTATTACTTCTATTTTGGTAGTTTTTATGTCCTCTGCCAGGATGCAATCCGCAACGGTCCACAAATTCATAGGCGTGTGTTCAGTGCTAGGTAACAAGGGCAGCACATGTTAAGAGACGTGCCCATACGTTCTTGCCCTTCCCAGGTATTCGGCTAAAAGCCAGTGTTGTATAATCTGGCTCTTGACCAAACTACTGATCTATCTAGTTGGACATTAACAGATATATTTCAGAATTTAATGATTGACCAGATTTCCTGGAAGTCAAACAGAGCAGCTCCCGGTCCCTCAGTAAACTGGAAACTAAATCGGCTTTCTTGAATAATTTTAGTTAGAAATCCATTGTCTTCATATACAGAACTTTCAAAAAATTAAGCAAATCTTTAAGCACTATTTATGTGGGCTCACCTCCAGTTCCAAGACCAGTTGAAAGTATTGAGCTAGTTTCTGACCCTCTAATCGTATAACAAGCTGTGTTCGAGGAAGATAAATTCCAGCCTCTGGGCCTGACATATTGCAATTAAACTTCAGCTGTATTGGAGAGGGATGCACATTCAGTACCTGGGCCATTCGAAGATGTTGAACTATACCTCCTGATCCCAACTTACATTCATACTCCCACAATTATATCTTACTTTCTCACCCGTATAATTCACTTTCAGAACCCTACAAATACACTTTCACACTTCTGTAACTCATAATTTAGGTGTCCCGCAGCTGGATTACTAGCGCACTCAGCTCACACACTGAGGTCTGGGGGTCGATCCCATGTACGGCTGGAAAACTTGTTCACTCATCAGTAAAATGGATACTTGGGTGTTAGTCGATTGGTGTGAGTCGCATCCTGGGACAAGATTTACCTAATTTACCGGAAATGCTCTGCATAACAAAGGGTTTTCTATATAGTAGTATGCCATTGATGTCAACTAGCCTTGTATACCTTGTACATGTACTTGTAGTAATAAATATATTATTATTATTATTATTATTATTATTATTATTATTATTATTATTATTATTATTATTATTATTATTATTATATTTTAATTCACTCCCACCCAATCCCCTCACTCCTACCACTCCGCTCATCACTAACAATCCCCTCACTCCTACCACTCCGCTCACCACTAACAATCCCTCTCACAACCCTGTATCAACTCTCATACTTCTACAGTTAATACTTACACTCTCACACTCCTATAACTCCCACAAATCCACTAACACACCTATAATTCACAGCCTCACACCTACAACTCCCTCACCTTTTTACTTACTCTCACACTCCTAATATACTTCTACTACTCCGAATACATTTCCCACATGCAAACATTAACCAAACTTCGAATTTGTTGAATATAATTACTCCAACAACCCAAATGAAGAACTTGATGGTTGGATGAGATCACATTACTGTTATTTCCTCTCATTTGGTCCTTTTACGAAAAGTTGGTACACCTACCAGAGAGCAGAGATGACATGAACAAAGTTGGTACACCTACCAGAGAGCAGAGATTACATGAACAAAGTTGGTACACCTACCAGAGAGCAGAGATGACATGAAGATAGCATCACAATTACTAAATACTGTATATTGCACAAGGTACTACATCTGCTAGATAGCAAGGATGACATAAGGTGTTACATTTACTAGACTGCAAAGATGACTTAAGCAAGTTGCTCAAGATAGCCTGAATTACACAACCAAAGTCCTGACAACCAATATTTAGCAGGAGTGACCTGAAAAAGAGTTATTACAAGTCATGGTGAACTGAACTTGTCACAGTTGCTTGAAGGACTCTTGGTGTTCTTCTACCGAAAAGTCCGAAATAGATGAAGCATAATGAAAGGCACAAGTTTATGTCTACGCTGCTAAAACACAGGTTGTCGTTAGCAGCTGATATGAATGTCTTCGCAACTACAACTCAGATTTCCATTTAAACAATCTAAGTGCATAGTTATACATATGTAGCTCTCTATAAGAAACTTATAGATAGAGGAGTTTTCTCAAGAACCATCCACTGATGGGAGAAAATCCTAGGGTGTAACACATTTTGTTTTATTTAGCGAAACTGGATACTTCAGCAATGGGTTGGAACAAAAGCTAGCTGTGTTTTACTGTTATATCCCATCATTCAGGATAAGTCATATACATAATGTTAGAATCTTTCAGCCTGAGTTGGCACACTTCAGTTTGGTAATGACGATGTCGTCAGGTATTAGATTAAGGATTCATCAGCTACCGGAGCTTCTAAGGTTCCGTTCCAATATAGAAGAAGTTTCTTTTATTTGGGAATTAATTTTTTATGAAGATTTCTCCATCGTCGCAGAAAAGGGACAACGAAAATTATATATGAACGAAAGAGGAAACATATGTGGATGGGAGGAGAAGAAATTTTAAGACATAATATATTGCTAGCACTAGCCTGGCAACAACCAGCCTGGATATCATGAACAAATTCAGCCTCATTTGTTCTAAGCAACTTGCATTTAAGGCAGCTTACAAATTATTTTCTAAAATTTATCTTGAACTATGTTGTTATTGTAGTTTGCTAACATAAATACTGGATATACTTCAAGCTAGTGGTTTATATATCATGGGTGATTGGTTTAGAAAGACACGTAAGTAAACACTATGACATATTTATTAGAAAACGTTTCGGTCCTGGGACCTTGATCACTTCTAACATACAGAGGTAGAAAGACATTATATATAAGTGGAGAGTGAGGTGTGAGTGACGCATTGTGACCTGAAGAATGTCATGGGGTGAGGACGGGTAGACGATGAGATCATGTGATTCCTGTGTTGCTGGGTTGGTGGTGCTTAGCCTGCTTAAGTATCATGTATGCTGATGTTTTTGAAGTTTTGTGGTTTCCAGTATTACGTTCTATGGTGTGTCGGTGACGGCGATTAGCGAGGCTTCTAGACACCGTCGGCGTCTGAGGTCTGGTTCGGTGAGAACGAGTTGTGCCTCATCCCAGTTCATCAAATGCCCCGTGGAGTCTCTGCGGAGGACACAGGCGTACCTTAAATCGTCTCTGTTACAGGCACTTGGATGTTCGTTCAGGCGGACCGCAAGATCTTTGCCTGTCTCGCCTTCATATTTCTTGGGACAGAATCCACAGGGGATGGTGTAGACGTCTGCTGTGGAAGTTAGGAGTCACATGATCTCATCGTCTACCCGTCCTCATCCCAACATGGCATTCTTCAGGTCACCATGCGTCACTCACACCTCACTCTCCGTCTTTCTACCTCTGTATGCTAGAAGTGATCAAGGTCGCAGGACCGAAACGTTTTCTAATAAATATGTCAGTGTTTGCTTACGTGTCTTTCTAACCAACTTGGTCGGTATTTATTACCAAGGTTTATACCATAATGGGTGATTAAAATTCGTTCACTGTCTCTGTTTCTGTTTCTGACTGTGTGTGTGTGTGTGTGTGTCTGTCTGTCTGTGTCTGTCTCTCTGACCTTGCCTGTAGAAGTAGGTGGCGTTGGTGGCGTTGATGGTGGGGTAGTTGGTGGGTCCTCCTCTAGCAAGTCTACACTCGCTCCCACCTCCAACATTCTGCACCAGAGACCATGCACTGCAATTCCCTGTCGCCATGCACTGGTATTTACACATGCCTGTTTAATAAGAATATGATAATACGAAAAGTTTGCACAAGTTCTTTATTTTAACTAGATATCTTTCTTGCACTGCACTACCAGAGTAAGGTATCCCTTGTATCCCCTGACCTCAGACCCCTGAACCTCGGTGCACACAAAAGTTGTAGCAGTTGAACCGTCAAAGCCTCAAGCGGTAGAGGAGCTACAACTAAGCTCCCTCAAGAGACTCAGAAGCTATAGGTCAACCTTCTCAAGATATACAGGAGCTGGATATCAAAACCTTGAAGAGATCCAAGAGCTTCAGCTCAACACTCAAACGATCCAGGTGCTGTACCTCAACACCCTTGGGGGTCTACGCAATGTAACTTTTTAACATTAAAAAGTTTTTATTAGTAACACATTCATTAGCCCTAACTGCGTCGTAGTTTCATAAACACAAAAATTTTTATTAGCGTTTGTAGATACCAAATTCCAATTTTTATTAAAAAATTAATATGCAACTGATTCAAGGTTGAAGTGAAAATAAATATTTGACAATGAGTTGATAGAGTTTTTAAAACTTGTTCCTTGGGTAGCATCGAGAATAAGTTGAGCAAATATTTCTGTTAGTGGGTTTCGGTTTGAGAAGGACCTACCTAGTATGGGCCAGTAGTCCTGCTGTAGTGGTCCTCCTTCCTTTTAAGTGGGTGAGTTCAAGCTCCTCTCCCTCCTGAGCGCTTTGATCTGCAGCTCCTGGGCGTTTTTAGTCCCCTGACCAATTCCTTCCGCTGACTTACCTTTTTGAGTAGGTTGAACTAAGGCTCCTGGACCTCGTGCAGATGTTGATCTTTAGTTCAGAACCTTATAGAGGGTTGAGCTACAGCTACTCTGCCTCTTGAGGTACATGAGGGACTGCTACACTCCCTCTTGAAGGCACTAAGGTAGAGGGGGCTGGTGTATGGCAATCAGGGGATGTCTACCTCAGGTTGTGCATCAACTCTAACATCAACTTTGAAGCCAACATAGACAGGAGTATCCAAAAGCTATTAAACATAAAGCAATATCTTAATTTGAATAATCAATTTAAATCTTTCTGCAAGTACGATGAACCACTGTTGACATTTTAAACACAATCAAGTTAGTAATTACAAGTTAATCCATGGAAACAATTATTAAAAATGGGTTACTAAAAAATTACATATTATTACTTATACAGCCCAATAATAATGTAAATCTTTCTTTGAGTAAAATTAATTCGCCTTTAGAGTTTGAATCCTTCCACAAGAGGCATTCTCAAGGTATCACAGGAAAAAACTAAATTTTATAAAAATGAAATTGGAAACTATGAGAGCAAGAAGCTCGCTGGAAAGTGCAAAATGCTTCTAATAAAAAGCGGAATGCAGATGATCAGGCCATCAACCAGGTCTAGTGACCCGTGGCTTGGTTGGCAACGCTCTCGCCTTACACACTGAGTGTCCATGGTTCGATGCCCGACACAGGAGGAAATGCTGTGCGTGTTTCCTTATACCTGCTGTTCCTGTTGTCCTAGCAGTAAGTAGGTATCTGGGTGTTAGTCGACTGTTGTGAGTCGCATCTTGGGGGACAAGATTGAAGGACTCCAATGGAAATAAGAGAGAGAGTCCTTGATGAAGCACTGACTTTCTTGGGTAATACTGGGTAGCTAACACTCCGGGTTAAAAACCCTAACAAATCTTATCTTAACTGCGCTACGGGGCCTTGACTTGTGGAATTATCTTCAGGTAACCTATGCGGTGTACTAATAAAACGAATCTTCATCTAAGTAGGATACACCAGTGTTAGAAGTTTAAACCCGATCAGAGGAGGCGTTCTTTGGTAATCAAATTCTAGGGCTGTTTTCATTTAGATTTGGAAAATTGGAAACTATACACTCAGTAACAACATGAAACTTGTTTTTGAGTTTGTTATGAACACTAAAGATGAAAATTTGACACATTATATGAGGCGTTCTCAATGTATTGTACACAAACTTTGAGATGAAGAAAGAACAGAATCCGACAATCATTATTAATATGCCTTGTTAGGAATACCGTGACGGAACAATACACAAATAACCCTGTAGGTCATCAATACTTTTCTCATTATGCAAAATAAAATCTTATTACTCCAGAAGATCTATGATTGTATTCAGATTGTATATCAGAAGATTCTATGATTGTATTCAGGTCTTCTCTACTTTCTCTTGAATACATTCCTCTTTTTTTGTTATGTCTTGGTCGTGGGAATTAAGCTTTCATCTTTGTTCTCTCAGTCTCGTCCCTACCAGATCAAATATTCTATCTACCTTGATACTACACCTGGAGTTTACCTGGAGAGGGTTTCGGGGGTCAACGCCCCCGCGGCTCGGTCTGAGATCAGGTCTCGTGGTGGATCCCTTGAATATCTTACATGATGTGATCCTATATCTCTTGAACCTCTTCTTCTACGATAAAATTAGGTTCAGGTTCTTTAGTTTTCCATTATAACTCAAATTTTTCAACTTCGTAACTAATCTGATACCAAATATTTGAACTTTCTCAAACTTATTTTGCTATTTAACTAGACGAGGATTTCATGGTGGTGCCACCAAGTGTGTACGAGATCCAGAATGCTACAATGTACAGGACTCTCAGACCCAGCCATTCATGTGTTACAGATGTTACCCAATTTTTGTTTGTCTTTGTAGAAGGATTCAGTTTGATAAAATGCAAGTCGCTTCTTACCAGACTCTTAGAATTGTTTTCCACCCAGTTGGTGTTTTCCTGTTTTATGTATTATCTTCAAATCCCATTCTCATAGGTGCCTCACTTGACACCTTAGTACTGGATACTTATCCTTCACAGTAACTTTCTAGGCCAATGTTGCATATTTTCCTGTCCTGATTAAATTCTCATCATCAGCAAACGCTGGCAAGACCAAGTTTATCCCCTTTTCCTTGCAGAGGGTTTATGTAACTGCTGTGTTACATAACAGATTTCTGCAGACGACACACTCAGGATGGGACCAAAACCGGAACTAGCAAGACATCTACACCCTGCCCCTAGAAACAACACACAGCATGGCTCTTAAGGCTACAAAATTCAATATACGCAACTACAACATGAACAAGCACATCCTGGCTGAATTCACTGAGGCTGAACGCCCAGATGTAATGCTTTTAAACAGCACATGTGTGCAAGGCACAACGAATAAGACACTGAGACTACACTACAATCTAATCTAGTGCTGATCCCTATAATGGTACTGGCATTATGGTGAACAATACTATTCAGCATCACTTTCTAAACACCCCTTTCACCTGTCCTCACAGCCTGGCTGTCAAAACATTATTATTATAATCAAGGGAGAAGCGCTAAACCCGTAGGATTATACAGCGCCTGAGGGGGGATGTGGAAGGTATTCAAGTTTAATTCAGGGAACTGGAGAACAGATCCAATTCCCTAGATCACGAACCCCTCACCAGCATCAAGGAACCTTCCTTGGAGGGTTGGCTGTCAAAGACTTCACTCTTCATGGTCCCATTATCATCTACACTACATAACTCTCGATCCAACTCCTACATAAACATTCCTGATTTAACCCTTCTTTTTAATCACCCCAACATTCCTGTCTATCTTCTTGCAGACCTAAATGCAAAACATACAGCCTTCCACGACACATACACCAACATACACGGGAACTAACTGCAACAATTGATCACACAGATATGCACACATCAGTCGAAATCTCACCTTCCTGAGAAACAACATCATCCGTAGCCTGGATGAGGATCAAGCCAAACACTGGCTGTCCCTCATCCAGGCTGCTGAGTCACGCCGCATACAGGACCCCGTGGAATTCTGGGTCTCTATTCGGAAGGTCACTGGAGTCCCAAAAACAACTCACTTCCAATACATAACACACAACAACACAAACATTACAGACTCAGCACAAGCCGCACATGCATTCAAAGACATACGATAAAGCATTTTTCATCCTCACCCTCCTGACTCAGCTGCACAACAACACAGTATATTGAACACTGGGTCTCTACACATAGACTCATTACCTGTCCTGACCCTATTATACAGCTATCTTTCACCTCTACAGCACACCTTTTCCTCAACTTCTTGTAAAATCCTTATTATTATTATTATAATCAAAAAGAAGCGCTAAGCCACAAGGGCTATACAGCGCTGCAGGGTAGGGAAGGAAGCGAGGGTATTGGATGGTAGAAGGGAGGAGGGATGATCAGTAGGTTACAGAAAACAGTGGGGCAGGGGATAGTACGGGGGTAGAGGGTAGCAAGAGATTGAAGTAGAAAGGGCTGAAGGTATCAGAATTTGTGAAGTAAGTCAGTTGTTGTCAAAAAGCCAATGAGAGTCCGGATGAAAGGTGGGTCCATCAGCGAGAAGGGAAGGTAAAGAGAGAGCAGCGGAGCGAAGACGACGACGGAGGTAAATTCTGCATGCTCGTTGATAAAGTGGGCAGTCCAACAGAATGTGGCTGACTGATAATGGAGCTTGGCAATTCTCACAGAGAGGAGCAGGGTGCCTCTCCATGAGATATCCATGAGTAAGACGAGTATGGCCAATGCGAAGACGGGAGAGAGTAGTCTCCCAACCTCGACACTGGTGATAAGAAGACGGTCAGTATCCTATACTCGGTTTAATAGATTGAAGTTTGTTGCCGAGCATAGCAGACCAACGTTGTTGCCAACGGGTGTGAAGGTGGGAAGATACTGCAGCAAAATAGTCCATAAATGGAATACCTCTATATGAAACTGGTAGGTCATGTACTGCTGACCGCGCAGCAGTGTCTGCCTGTTCATTGCCCTGTACGTCAACATGACCAGGGACCCAACAAAAAAAAATATCTTTATGCTTGGTAAAGATGCGGCGTAGCCAAAGTTGGATACGGAGGACTAAGGGGTGAGGTGTATCAAATTTCTGTATAGCCTGTAAAGCACTAAGGGAGTCTGAGACAACCACAAATGATGACACAGGCATAGATGCAATATGGATAAGTGCTGCAAG